GTGAGTGGTCTGTTGCGTGTGGAGCAACGGTGGTGTGAGTGGTCTGTTGCGTGTGGAGCAACGGTGGTGTGAGTGGTCTGTTGCGTGTGGAGCAACGGTGGTGTGAGTGGTCTGTTGCGTGTGGAGCAACGGTGGTGTGAGTGGTCTGTTGCGTGTGGAGCAACGGTGGTGTGAAGGGTCTGTTGCGTGTGGAGCAACGGTGGTGTGAAGGGTCTGTTGCGTGTGGAGCAACGGGTCGTGTGAGTAGTGTGTTGCGTGTGGAGCAACGGGTCGTGTGATTGGTCTGTTGCGTGTGGAGCAACGGGTCGTGTGATTGGTCTGTTGCGTGTGGAGCAACGGGCCGTTTCTTTGCACGACAGCCATTGCTGCTGGCAGCGCGACCAGTCCGTTCTCACGCTTTGACAAACGTCAAATTTGAAGCGGTTGAGCCAAACCAGAAGCGAACGAATCTCCCTACAACCCACCGAGACCGGTGCTTACAAGTTCCTAGAAGAAATTAGAATTGCGGTGTATAAAGTGTGAGGACAGGAGCATTCTGCGCCAAGATCACTGTATTTCCACGTGGACCCGAACGTTACCTTTGTTATGGACACATTACACCTTCGACAACGTCACTGTTGGAACACGCAAAGGGGAAAGAACAAAGGTAATCAAAAGGGTTAATCGGGTCGTAAAAGTGCGCCGCTACTTGTTGGCCGCAAAACATGGCAGTTTTCCGTAGTCTTTCTCATAGCGGGACAACCCAACACAAACAGAACACAGTTATCTCTCACAATGTTCGGTAATATGTTTATTGTTTGTGATGTGTGTTTATGTATGTATTAACACGATGTACTGAACGGGGTGAGGATAGCTTGAGCTACCTCATACCTTTGTGTGTATTTTACCTCAATAAACTTATTTCAATTTCAATTTCAACAAAACACCGTTTTTTTTTGTTATTTGTCATTTTTTAGCCTAAAACGTAAAGCCAAATATCCCACCAAGTTCAAAATTCAAATTCAAATGTTTATTCAGGTAAAGTACATACATACAAGAAGTGATACAGATATTGATGAACTTATAGAGCTAGTACAGACAATGCCTAAAGCCACTATTACGCAAAGTGTTTCGGGCAGTTCAAATATGTTTATTGAGACAAGAGAAAAATACCTCTCAAAGGGATAGAGTAGCTTAGGCTATTTCTACCCCAATATCCCACCTAACGTATCAAAGCAGAGGCTTAGAAAACTATTAGTATTATTTGGCTTTAGTTTTCACTAATACGTCGCTTTTTTCAAGGGACTGGTCAATTCCATACGAAATCCGACGTATTAGGTGATGAGAGCTTATTAGGTGTTATACACTGGTGAGTTGTGGTATGGCAGTTGTATAGAGATTAAGATCAATAACAGTTATTGCGTGGCAATAGTGGTAAAGTCAGTCACTGAGTGGATAACAAGTCGTATCCTCGCTCTATTAGGCTACCAGGGACACGCTCTATTAGACTAGCAGCGACACGCTCTATTAGATTAGCAGCGACACGCTCTATTAGGCTAGCAGGGACAAGCTCTTTTAGGCTAGCAGGGACACGCTCTATTAGGCTAGCAGGGACACGCTCTATTAGGCTAGCAGCGATACGCTCTATTAGACTAGCAGCGACACGCTCTATTAGGCTAGCAGCGACACGCTCTATTAGGCTAGCAGCGACACGCTCTATTAGGCTAGCAGCGACACGCTCTATTAGGCTAGCAGCGACACGCTCTATTAGGCTAGCAGCGACACGCTCTATTAGGCTAGCAGCGACACGCTCTATTAGGCTAGCAGCGACACGCTCTATTAGACTAGCAGCGACACGCTCTATTAGACTAGCAGCGACACGCTCTATTAGGCTACCAGGGACACGCTCTATTAGGCTAGCAGGGACACGCTCTATTAGGCTAGCAGGGACACGCTCTATTAGGCTAGCAGGGACACGCTCTATTAGGCTAGCAGGGACACGCTCTATTAGGCTACCAGGGACACGCTCTATTAGGCTACCAGGGACACGCTCTATTAGGCTACCAGGGACACGCTCTATTAGGCTACCAGGGACACGCTCTATTAGGCTACCAGGGACACGCTCTATTAGGCTACCAGGGACACGCTCTATTAGGCTAGCAGGGACACGCTCTATTAGGCTAGCAGGGACACGCTCTATTAGGCTAGCAGGGACACGCTCTATTAGGCTAGCAGGGACACGCTCTATTAGGCTAGCAGGGACACGCTCTATTAGGCTAGCAGCGACGCGCTCTATTAGGCTAGCAGCGACGCGCTCTATTAGGCTAGCAGCGACGCGCTCTATTAGGCTAGCAGCGACGCGCTCTATTAGGCTAGCAGCGACGCGCTCTATTAGGCTAGCAGGGACACGCTCTATTAGGCTAGCAGCGACGCGCTCTATTAGGCTAGCAGCGACGCGCTCTATTAGGCTAGCAGGGACACGCTCTATTAGGCTAGCAGGGACACGCTCTATTAGGCTAGCAGGGACACGCTCTATTAGGCTAGCAGGGACACGCTCTATTAGGCTAGCAGGGACACGCTCTATTAGGCTAGCAGCGACACGCTCTATTAGGCTAGCAGCGACACGCTCTATTAGGCTAGCAGCGACACGCTCTATTAGACTAGCAGGGACACGCTCTATTAGACTAGCAGGGACACGCTCTATTAGGCTAGCAGCGACACGCTCTATTAGGCTAGCAGCGACACGCTCTATTAGGCTAGCAGGGACACGCTCTATTAGGCTAGCAGCGACACGCTCTATTAGACTAGCAGGGACACGCTCTATTAGACTAGCAGGGACACGCTATATTAGACTAGCAGCGACACGCTATATTAGACTAGCAGCGACACGCTCTATTAGACTAGCAGCGACACGCTCTATTAGACTAGCAGCGACACGCTCTATTAGACTAGCAGCGACACGCTCTATTAGACTAGCAGCGACACGCTCTATTAGACTAGCAGCGACACGCTCTATTAGACTAGCAGCGACACGCTCTATTAGACTAGCAGCGACACGCTCTATTAGACTAGCAGCGACACGCTCTATTAGACTAGCAGCGACACGCTCTATTAGACTAGCAGCGACACGCTCTATTAGACTAGCAGCGACACGCTCTATTAGACTAGCAGCGACACGCTCTATTAGACTAGCAGCGACACGCTCTATTAGACTAGCAGCGATACGCTCTATTAGACTAGCAGCGACACGCTCTATTAGACTAGCAGCGACACGCTCTATTAGACTAGCAGCGACACGCTCTATTAGACTAGCAGCGACACGCTCTATTAGACTAGCAGCGACACGCTCTATTAGACTAGCAGCGACACGCTCTATTAGACTAGCAGCGACACGCTCTATTAGACTAGCAGCGACACGCTCTATTAGACTAGCAGCGACACGCTCTATTAGACTAGCAGCGACACGCTCTATTAGACTAGCAGCGACACGCTCTATTAGACTAGCAGCGACACGCTCTATTAGGCTAGCAGCGACACGCTCTATTAGGCTAGCAGCGATACGCTCTATTAGGCTAGCAGCGATACGCTCTATTCTAAACTTGGCTGGCGTCATTCCAGGAGATACCACCCCGGACTGTGCTTGGTGTAGCCGGATGGGGTGTACCTAGAGGAGGTCTTCTACTCCCCATGCCCACACCAGACTAGCTATATGATAATCGCTATATGCTATATGATGATATGATATGATATATGATAGCTATATGATTGTGATGATAATCTAAAAGGCTGTGGATTCAGTAGGCCGGAAATCCCCATATCCACTACACCCCGGTTGGAGTGATAGGGTTCACACATCACTTGATATTTACTATTCAAAGCCACCCGTTCTCTTGATTTGCTAGTCCGTAAAAAGGTGTTTTGCCTAACCGGAAACGTACAAACCCAAAACACAGCAAACTTACATTATTAAGGCCGATGAATGGCAAACGTCCCTATTACGATATTTTAATATTTACTAATACGCCGCACTTTTAACGTATCGGTCGATTCCGTATAAAATAAATCTCAGGAATGTTTACCAGTTGGGTGACACTTGATTATTTCAGCCAATTTCCAACGTGGACAAACATACCAAACATACATACAAACATACGGTCAAGGCTCACCGTACAAACTGTATGCCTTTACCTACAAATGTGCGAATTAACCTTAATAAAGTAAATCTTAAAACCTGTATACCGCTAAGAAAATGTGTAAGCTTGTTTCCCACGCGTACCTGGTTGATACCTGGTTGATGGGGTTCTGGGAGTTCTTCTACTCCCCAAGCCCGGCCCGAGGTCAGGCTCGACTTGTGAGAGTCTGGTCCACCAGGCTGTTGCTTGGAGCGGCCCGCAGGCCCACATACCCACCACAGCCCGGCTGATCCGGAACTTCTCAAATAGAGAGGCATTTAAGTACAAATAGAGAGGCATTTAAGTACTTGTGACATGACGCAATGACGTTATGTCACAAGTACTTAAAACTTCGTACTTAAACGAGGAACTTCGTTGAAAACGGGTCCACATTAATTTCAATAGCAGCATCGCACCAAGAGTCCAACTAAATTTTCCAGCTTAAAGTCGATGACTCGAAGCGTTCTCAAGGTCTCGAACGGTAACAAAGATGTGGAATTAGTACAGAATAAAATAAAACGATAAACTATATACTCCCTCCCCTTCACGTTCACAAATAATGCTCCCACAACCTGTTAACACACTTTATACACTAAATTCAGTGTATAAATGAAACTATATACACAAACTTTATCCTAAAGCGTGAAGAGGACGAGGCGCAGCTAACAGGCTGCCGCCACCTGGCATACCTCGCCCACCCCCCTTCACCACGGCCCTCCAAGGGGTCAATGTTCTACACCACCAACGGTGACTCTTGAAGGAAGAGAAAGAGGGGAGAGAGACAGAAGGTGCAGGCACGTTGCCCGGTCGCTACACTGGCAGTAAAACCTCCCTCCCAAGTGGCTCTACATGGTCCACACAAAGACCATCACACCTTTACCTCCACACCAACACGTCAGTGCTGACACCATCATCATCTCCCCTCCACAACACACTCTCCACCACCATCTGCACAATATGCAATACTACCTTCACTATTACCACCACCACAGCTACAATTACCACCATCGCAATCACCACTCCCTAATCAGCAACACTGCCATCACCATAATTGTCACCATGAACACACTCTAACACTCAGTATTAACACACTCACCGCCACAATCACAACAATAATAGCGACCGTCAACACCATAATCACCACCACCATTAACCATATAATGTACAATAGTGTCCATAACTTCACCAACACTTCAGCACTGTATACACTGTCACACCAACACTTCAGCACTGTATACACTGTCACAGCCTATCCTTACCGTGAACTGCCTTTAAGCAGCCTTCAGAACAACAATATAAAAAGAACTTTATGTTATAAAATTTATGTTTAACATAACTTCGTAGATCTGCGACAAAGTGAAATCTAAACTAACTATTCCATCTATCAGCATGCTGTCCCCCAAAAATCAACATGTTCATAGATATCACTTAGGATCGGCTTAGGTTAACTATGCATCTCTGAGTTTCTGGGAGTTTGAATCATCTGTGGATGTAGACTTGACCAAATGTAAACCGCGACAGGAAAACAATTACCACACTTGCATCACTGGGCCAACGTGAGAAAACATTTAAAAAATAGATACAGTTATTGCAAAAGAACTTTAAAAAAAATGCAAACTTATATGCTAATACCAATTTTAGTCAAGTATTGCAAGTATGCACACTAAGTATTTTATGTACACATGACTGATCTTCCCAGCACCACCCTGCGGATGGATGTCGTGGGGTGGGGGGAGGGAGGGTGCCTAACAGGTAAATGAAAACAGTAGATGTAATCAATTCTCACAAAAGTCAATTGTTTAGCTTAAAGATCATTAGGATCCAGTCCCTGAACCCATTACGTGACAAACCTCTATGTTGCTGCCCAAGACCATTATGGAACTGTTTTTCCTAACGAACGTTAGAACCTAAGAAACCTACTAATCTATGAAGGCTAAGAAAACAACAATATTACTTTGATTTAAATTTTGCTAAAACCCAGGATATTTTGATGGATTGTTGATTCCATAAAAATGCAATCTATTGGGTAAAACAGGTTGATCACCCTATGATTACGGGATTTATAATAAACTAATTTCAACTTAATTAGTTTTTCCACGTCAGCAATTGAAGGTGGACAAACTATATATTTACCCAAAACGCTGATGAGTTTATGAGGTATGTTGAAGGGCAAACTTTGGTATTCGAGTTTAAAGGTACTTCACATAATCAAAGTCGAAATAAACGAATGAAAGTTCACAGCTTTGAATTTGTTCCATTTTAATATCAGGATCAAATTGGCCATCCTCCAGGCAGTAGGGACCACATTGGCCACCCTCCAGGCAGTAGGGACCACATTGGCCACCCTCCAGGCAGTAGGGACCACATTGGCCACCCTCCAGGCAGTAGGGACCACATTGGCCACCCTCCAGGCAGTAGGGCCCACGTTGGCCACCTTCCAGGCAGTAGGGACCACGTTGGCCACCTTCCAGGCAGTAGGGACCACATTGGCCACCTTCCAGGCAGTAGGGACCACATTGGCCACCCTCCAGACAGTAGGGCCCACGTTGGCCACCTTCCAGGCAGTAGGGCCCACGATGGCCACCCTCCAGACAGTAGGGCCCACGATGGCCACCCTCCAGGCAGTAGGGCCCACGATGGCCACCCTCCAGGCAGTAGGGCCCACGATGGCCACCTTCCAGGCAGTAGGGCCCACGATGGCCACCTTCCAGGCAGTAGGGCCCACGATGGCCACCCTCCAGACAGTAGGGCCCACGATGGCCACCCTCCAGGCACTAGGGACCACGTTGGCCACCCTCCAGACAGTAGGGCCCACGATGGCCACCCTCCAGGCAGTAGGGCCCACGATGGCCACCTTCCAGGCAGTAGGGCCCACGATGGCCACCTTCCAGGCAGTAGGGCCCACGATGGCCACCCTCCAGACAGTAGGGCCCACGATGGCCACCCTCCAGGCACTAGGGGCCACGTTGGCCACCCTCCAGGCAGTAGGGACCACGTTGGCCACCCTCCAGGCAGTAGGGACCACGTTGGCCACCCTCCAGGCAGTAGGGAGCACGTTGGCCACCCTCCAGGCAGTAGGGACCACATTGGCCACCCTCCAGGCAGTAGGGACCACATTGGCCACCCTCCAGGCAGTAGGGACCACATTGGCCACCCTCCAGGCACTAGGGACCACATTGGCCACCCTCCATTCAGGAGGGACCACGTTGGTCACCTCCCAGGCAGTAGGGACCACATTGGCCACCCTCCAGGCAGTAGGGACCACATTGGCCACCCTCCAGGCAGTAGGGACCACATTGGCCACCCTCCAGGCAGTAGGGACCACATTGGCCACCCTCCAGGCAGTAGGGACCACATTGGCCACCCTCCAGGCAGTAGGGCCCACCTTGGCCACCTTCCAGGCAGTAGGGACCACGTTGGCCACCTTCCAGGCAGTAGGGACCACATTGGCCACCTTCCAGGCAGTAGGGACCACATTGGCCATCCTCCAGACAGTAGGGCCCACGTTGGCCACCTTCCAGGCAGTAGGGCCCACGATGGCCACCCTCCAGACAGTAGGGCCCACGATGGCCACCCTCCAGACAGTAGGGCCCACGATGGCCACCCTCCAGGCAGTAGGGCCCACGATGGCCACCCTCCAGGCAGTAGGGCCCACGATGGCCACCTTCCAGGCAGTAGGGCCCACGATGGCCACCTTCCAGGCAGTAGGGCCCACGATGGCCACCTTCCAGGCAGTAGGGCCCACGATGGCCACCCTCCAGACAGTAGGGCCCACGATGGCCACCCTCCAGGCACTAGGGACCACGTTGGCCACCCTCCAGACAGTAGGGCCCACGATGGCCACCCTCCAGGCAGTAGGGCCCACGATGGCCACCTTCCAGGCAGTAGGGCCCACGATGGCCACCTTCCAGGCAGTAGGGCCCACGATGGCCACCCTCCAGGCACTAGCGACCACGTTGGCCACCCTCCAGACAGTAGGGCCCACGATGGCCACCCTCCAGGCAGTAGGGCCCACGTTGGCCACCTTCCAGGCAGTAGGGCCCACGATGGCCACCCTCCAGGCAGTAGGGCCCACGATGGCCACCCTCCAGGCAGTAGGGCCCACGATGGCCACCCTCCAGACAGTAGGGCCCACGATGGCCACCCTCCAGGCACTAGGGCCCACGTTGGCCACCCTCCAGACAGTAGGGACCACGTTGGCCACCTTCCAGACAGTAGGGCCCACGTTGGCCACCCTCCAGACAGTAGGGCCCACGATGGCCACCCTCCAGACAGTAGGGCCCACGTTGGCCACCCTCCAGACAGTAGGGACCACGTTGGCCACCTTCCAGGCAGTAGGGCCCACGTTGGCCACCTTCCAGGCAGTAGGGCCCACGATGGCCACCCTCCAGGCAGTAGGGCCCACGATGGCCACCCTCCAGGCAGTAGGGCCCACGATGGCCACCCTCCAGGCAGTAGGGCCCACGATGGCCACCCTCCAGGCAGTAGGGCCCACGTTGGCCACCCTCCAGACAGTAGGGCCCACGATGGCCACCTTCCAGACAGTAGGGCCCACGATGGCCACCTTCCAGACAGTAGGGCCCACGATGGCCACCTTCCAGACAGTAGGGCCCACGTTGGCCACCCTCCAGACAGTAGGGCCCACGTTGGCCACCCTCCAGACAGTAGGGCCCACGATGGCCACCCTCCAGACAGTAGGGACCACGTTGGCCACCCTCCAGGCAGTAGGGACCACGTTGGCCACCCTCCAGGCAGTAGGGCCCACGATGGCCACCCTCCAGACAGTAGGGCCCACGTTGGCCACCCTCCAGACAGTAGGGCCCACGTTGGCCACCCTCCAGACAGTAGGGCCCACGATGGCCACCCTCCAGACAGTAGGGCCCACGTTGGCCACCCTCCAGACAGTAGGGCCCACGATGGCCACCCTCCAGACAGTAGGGCCCACGATGGCCACCCTCCAGACAGTAGGGACCACGTTGGCCACCTTCCAGGCAGTAGGGACCACGTTGGCCACCTTCCAGGCAGTAGGGCCCACGATGGCCACCCTCCAGACAGTAGGGACCACGTTGGCCACCTTCCAGGCAGTAGGGACCACGTTGGTCATCCGCCAGGCCGTTGGGACTACTTACTACTGTGTTGAATGATATATTGAATATACTTGTGTTACACTTCTCTGCAATTCAAGATTCTACTAAGCAACGTATTTAGGTTAGGCAATTTATCTATCTGTATGACCCTCTGTCCTGCGTGACAGTGAATACTAGCATTATCCTCACTTTAATAAGACTAATCAAAATCCTCAGATTAGGCAAAATTGTAATTAATTTTGTCAATAAAGATGTTAATGATAATAAGGCAATTTATCTGTTTTTAGTTTAAGATGTGTTGTTATATCAGGTTCTTTGTTCACCAAACCACACACTAGAAAGTGAAGGGACGACGACGTTTCAGTCCGTCCTGGACCATTCTCAAGTCGATTGTAATCTTTAAGGTTCATCAGCACACTAGACTTGTGATCCTGTGGTCCCGGGTTCGATCCCAGGCGCCGGCGAGAAACAATGGGCAGAGTTTCTTTCACCCTATGCCCCTGTTACCTAGCAGTAAAATAGGTACCTGGGTGTTAGTCAGCTGTCACGGGCTGCTTCCTGGAAGTGGAGGTCGAGGACCGGGCCGCGGGGACACTAAAGCCCCAAAATCATCTCAAGATAACCTCAAGATAGTGTATTTCCGTTGACATCCATGAGCATTGCACCGCCTCAAGTGACGGTGGGTGCGGTAGGCATAAGACACAGGCTGCTAAAGTGAATGAAGAAGCAACAGAAGAACGAAGCCTGCATCGCATAGTTACAACAATTTGCTTGTTACGAGCAACAGTCTTCCTGGTTAACTGCTGTCTGTCCACTTGTTAAGATCTCCGGGAGCGGAGTACCAGTGGCCAAGAGCGACATGCTCTTGACCTGTAGTTACGAGAGTGTGTCCCGAGCGACATGCTCTTGACCTGTAGTTACGAGAGTGTGTCCCGAGCGACATGCTCTTGACCTGTAGTTACGAGAGTGTGTCCCGAGCGACATGCTCTTGACCTGTAGTTACGAGAGTGTGTCCCGAGCGACATGCTCTTGACCTGTAGTTACGAGAGTGTGTCCCGAGCGACATGCTCTTGACCTGTAGTTACGAGAGTGTGTCCCGAGCGACATGCTCTTGACCTGTAGTTACGAGAGTGTGTCCCGAGAATATAAAACATTCTGGCAAGTTATGACGAAGGTATTCTAAATAATTATCTTTGAAAGTTATTTTTGTTAAATTGCTTGTGACGGTACTGTGAAGATAATAAAATTCGCACATATAATTAGTATACGATGCTTGATAACGCCATCAACGGCACTAATAAAATGGGGATGAAGAGGATGAGGTGGTGAGAGGAGAAATAAGAGGAAAATTTGGTAGAAAAAATAGGGGGAAGAGTAGATAAGAAAGAGGTTACGAAATTAGGAAAAGTAGAGAAAGAACAGACAGGGATGAAGAAAGGAGCACCACCCAGAAAAATACAATGACAAATACGTCTCCCAATATATATCTAAACAGTAGCACCTACAATAAAACATTAACAATAACTACTGTCATGTACTGGAGTACCTGGTGGGAGAGTCCCTGGCCCCATGTACTGGAGTACCTGGTTGGAGAGTCCCTGGCCCCATGTACTGGAGTACCTGGTGGGAGAGTCCCTGGCCCCATGTACTGGAGTACCTGGTGGGAGAGTCCCTGGCCCCATGTACTGGAGTACCTGGTGGGAGAGTCCCTGGCCCCATGTACTGGAGTACCTGGTGGGAGAGTCCCTGGCCCCATGTACTGGAGTACCTGGTGGGAGAGTCCCTGGCCCCATGTACTGGAGTACCTGGTGGGAGAGTCCCTGGCCCCATGTACTGGAGTACCTGGTGGGAGAGTCCCTGGCCCCATGTACTGGAGTACCTGGTGGGAGAGTCCCTGGCCCCATGTACTGGAGTACCTGGTGGGAGAGTCCCTGGCCCCATGTACTGGAGTACCTGGTGGGAGAGTCCCTGGCCCCATGTACTGGAGTACCTGGTTGGAGAGGAGAGTCCCTGGCCCCATGTACTGGAGTACCTGGTGGGAGAGGAGAGTCCCTGGCCCCATGTACTGGAGTACCTGGTGGGAGAGTCCCTGGCCCCATGTACTGGAGTACCTGGTGGGAGAGTCCCTGGCCCCATGTACTGGAGTACCTGGTTGGAGAGTCCCTGGCCCCATGTACTGGAGTACCTGGTGGGAGAGTCCCTGGCCCCATGTACTGGAGTACCTGGTGGGAGAGTCCCTGGCCCCATGTACTGGAGTACCTGGTGGGAGAGTCCCTGGCCCCATGTACTGGAGTACCTGGTGGGAGAGTCCCTGGCCCCATGTACTGGAGTACCTGGTTGGAGAGGAGAGTCCCTGGCCCCATGTACTGGAGTACCTGGTGGGAGAGGAGAGTCCCTGGCCCCATGTACTGGAGTACCTGGTGGGAGAGTCCCTGGCCCCATGTACTGGAGTACCTGGTTGGAGAGGAGAGTCCCTGGCCCCATGTACTGGAGTACCTGGTGGGAGAGACCCTGGCCCCATGTACTGGAGTACCTGGTTGGAGAGGAAATCCCTGACCCCATGTACTGGAGTACCTGGTTGGAGAGTCCCTGGCCCCATGTACTGGAGTACCTGGTGGGAGAGTCCCTGGCCCCATGTACTGGAGTACCTGGTTGGAGAGGAGAGTCCCTGGCCCCATGTACTGGAGTACCTGGTGGGAGAGGAGAGTCCCTGGCCCCATGTACTGGAGTACCTGGTGGGAGAGTCCCTGGCCCCATGTACTGGAGTACCTGGTGGGAGAGTCCCTGACCCCATGTACTGGAGTACCTGGTGGGAGAGTCCCTGGCCCCATGTACTGGAGTACCTGGTGGGAGAGTCCCTGGCCCCATGTACTGGAGTACCTGGTGGGAGAGGAGAGTCCCTGGCCCCATGTACTGGAGTACCTGGTGGGAGAGTCCCTGGCCCCATGTACTGGAGTACCTGGTGGGAGAGGAAATCCCTGACCCCATGTACTGGAGTACCTGGTTGGAGAGGAGAGTCCCTGGCCCCATGTACTGGAGTACCTGGTGGGAGAGTCCCTGGCCCCATGTACTGGAGTACCTGGTTGTAGAGGAGAGTCCCTGGCCCCATGTACTGGAGTACCTGGTTGTAGAGGAGAGTCCCTGGCCCCATGTACTGGAGTACCTGGTGGGAGAGGAGAGTCCCTGGCCCCATGTACTGGAGTACCTGGTGGGAGAGTCCCTGGCCCCATGTACTGGAGTACCTGGTGGGAGAGTCCCTGGCCCCATGTACTGGAGTACCTGGTGGGAGAGTCCCTGGCCCCATGTACTGGAGTACCTGGTGGGAGAGTCCCTGGCCCCATGTACTGGAGTACCTGGTGGGAGAGTCCCTGGTCCCATGTACTGGAGTACCTGGTGGGAGAGACCCTGGCCCCATGTACTGGAGTACCTGGTTGGAGAGGAAATCCCTGACCCCATGTACTGGAGTACCTGGTTGGAGAGTCCCTGGCCCCATGTACTGGAGTACCTGGTGGGAGAGTCCCTGGCCCCATGTACTGGAGTACCTGGTTGGAGAGGAGAGTCCCTGGCCCCATGTACTGGAGTACCTGGTGGGAGAGTCCCTGGCCCCATGTACTGGAGTACCTGGTGGGAGAGTCCCTGGCCCCATGTACTGGAGTACCTGGTGGGAGAGTCCCTGGCCCCATGTACTGGAGTACCTGGTGGGAGAGGAAATCCCTGACCCCATGTACTGGAGTACCTGGTTGGAGAGGAGAGTCCCTGGCCCCATGTACTGGAGTACCTGGTGGGAGAGTCCCTGGCCCCATGTACTGGAGTACCTGGTGGGAGAGTCCCTGGCCCCATGTACTGGAGTACCTGGTTGTAGAGGAGAGTCCCTGGCCCCATGTACTGGAGTACCTGGTGGGAGAGTCCCTGGCCCCATGTACTGGAGTACCTGGTGGGAGAGGAGAGTCCCTGGCCCCATGTACTGGAGTACCTGGTGGGAGAGTCCCTGGCCCCATGTACTGGAGTACCTGGTGGGAGAGTCCCTGGCCCCATGTACTGGAGTACCTGGTGGGAGAGTCCCTGGCCCCATGTACTGGAGTACCTGGTGGGAGAGTCCCTGGTCCCATGTACTGGAGTACCTGGTGGGAGAGACCCTGGCCCCATGTACTGGAGTACCTGGTTGGAGAGGAAATCCCTGACCCCATGTACTGGAGTACCTGGTTGGAGAGTCCCTGGCCCCATGTACTGGAGTACCTGGTGGGAGAGTCCCTGGCCCCATGTACTGGAGTACCTGGTTGGAGAGTCCCTGGCCCCATGTACTGGAGTACCTGGTTGGAGAGGAGAGTCCCTGGCCCCATGTACTGGAGTACCTGGTGGGAGAGGAGAGTCCCTGGCCCCATGTACTGGAGTACCTGGTGGGAGAGTCCCTGGCCCCATGTACTGGAGTACCTGGTTGGAGAGTCCCTGGCCCCATGTACTGGAGTACCTGGTTGGAGAGTCCCTGGCCCCATGTACTGGAGTACCTGGTGGGAGAGTCCCTGGCCCCATGTACTGGAGTACCTGGTGGGAGAGTCCCTGGCCCCATGTACTGGAGTACCTGATGGGAGAGTCCCTGGCCCCATGTACTGGAGTACCTGGTGGGAGAGTCCCTGGCCCCATGTACTGGAGTACCTGGTGGGAGAGTCCCTGGCCCCATGTACTGGAGTACCTGGTGGGAGAGTCCCTGGCCCCATGTACTGGAGTACCTGGTGGGAGAGTCCCTGGCCCCATGTACTGGAGTACCTGGTGGGAGAGTCCCTGGCCCCATGTACTGGAGTACCTGGTGGGAGAGTCCCTGGCCCCATGTACTGGAGTACCTGGTGGGAGAGTCCCTGGCCCCATGTACTGGAGTACCTGGTGGGAGAGTCCCTGGTCCCATGTACTGGAGTACCTGGTGGGAGAGACCCTGGCCCCATGTACTGGAGTACCTGGTTGGAGAGGAAACCCCTGACCCCATGTACTGGAGTACCTGGTTGGAGAGTCCCTG